TCGTGGTGAAAGAGAGATCTTGCTCGGGGCACGGCAGAAGGGCAGCACATGACCTTTGCCTGCGTGCGATGTCGACCGCCTGTGAGATTCTGTCTTGCGTGTCTTTTCGAATACCACCAATGCCTTACCTCGACGGGCGTTCGATGCCATTCAGGGCTCAGACAGAAGACAAGAAAGAGCTTCCGACCCGCGTTGTTCTCGGTGCCAGGGCAATTAAGGCCTCATTTGCATGCTAATAGAGCCGAGAAAGAAACACCCGCGGAGCATCGTTGGGAAGACTAGCAGATCGATAGGTAGGACAGGTGGAACTGAAGGAAAGCCAACCTGCCTTGCTACCTAAACTCTCTCGGATGTTTCTTTCTTTCTTTCCTTCTTTCTTTCTTTGCGTGCGTGTGTTCGTCTGAACCTTACTGGAAAACAATTCGATTACGTTGGATCTGTGTGTCGGTCTCGATACAATAAACAGCCGTGTATAAATGTTGGCTGTAGAAAAATGTGTTTAAAGCCATGTTTTGTTCTTTAACTGGGGAATACGACAACCATGCAAGGAGTTGCACCGATCACATCTCTTTTTTTTTTCTTCTAGCTTCACGTGCAGTACATAAATGACTGCGAGAGATGAAATCATCAAAAATGGCTATTCTCGCACAGTACTAGTCATATAATGCAAGCAGAATTCACGCGTGGGACAGAAAATAGTTGATGATGGCTCGGAGCACGTCCTTACGTGAAATTATCAACAGTATGGTTTCATATCCGTCGCCTGCTGTGACACCACGCGATAACTACCTCGATTAATAAGCCACAAGCGTGGAGCTATGAAGCCGCGTGGGACAAGCCTGTCTAGTTAGGAATTTTCGAAAATATTGAAGTCCCACAGTTTTTCTTATTGGACCGGACCAAGGGGCGGAACCAGAAAAGCCTTCGGAGAGAGGGGTTTCTTCCTCCTTCCCCAGTCGGTGCTGATACTTTGCTGCATGCCTTTATTGTTTTTTATTCATCACCGTTTTAGGAAGCCTTCTTACGACCTGCTTTCGTAATTTCTTTAACAATGGGGTCCGCAGTAGGAAAACTCACCAACGAAAGAACGGAAGCGTTGTCGAATTTGTGAGTGACGGCTGGCGACTTCTTGTAAGTAGCCGGAACCCTTCAAACCAGTCAGCTGTCAAGAACACCGATACAGCTGTTGTTCACAAGGCTCACCACGTGTCGGTCAAAGACGAGAGTCCTACAGGCGAACCAACCGGTTCAGGCAACGGGAGCAGCCAGCAGCACCCACTCCGCCATTTTTGTTGTGGAGGCGAGGGGGTATGACAAACACGGAGGTGTTGTACAACAGGTCACTGAAATAAAAAGTCTGGGGGACAGATCCTTCGCTTCGTTATTCAATCCCATTCAAATCGTATCGAAAAGTATAGCTGGTTTGCGTCTGTGCTTGTCACACTATGACAGTGTGGTGTGAATCTTGAAAGAATCTAGGATATCACTAACGATTGAAATATGGTGCTTCTGAGCAACGTATGTATAGGACCCAGGCAAAGGCATTCGATCTATTTCTTCTTGCGTCTTCTAAGTTTGTACCTGTATACATTGTAACGTGTTCTGCCCATATATTTTGATTTAGTATCTGCTGTAATGGGACCTCTGGTCTCCGGTGTCGATGAATGCCGCTGAATTACCGCCACATCTAAATCCGGCGACATTGTGTGTTTAAAATTTCAGTGGAAGAATTATGCTGGCATTTTTATATAATATCTTTTCTCAACAAATTTGGTCGCGAAGTTGGACATTGCTCTTGCTGCGATGTACCTGGGCCAAAAAGTGAAGATCATCAAATAGTTACGTACATATATGTGACCGTGATTTTTATATATACTTGGTGTTTCGTCGAAGCCTCTAAAAAAGTCCATAAAATTGGGTGGTTAAGAAAAAATAAAGCTCTTTCCGGGAACAAGGTGCCAGCCGCGTCAGATTTCAAGGATTGCAAAAAAAACATACTAATTAGATGGATAATTCACTAAGATTTACTAATTAACTTTTTATTGGGTGGAAATAAACGTATGATTCAAATGGAACTCATGCCTATAGGCATCATCAAAAACTACAAAATAAACTCATTTAAAAAAAAAATATTAGGCAGGGGCATCATTTTACGGCGTTCCGAAAATATCGCTTAATTTGGACGCATTTTTAAGTTTCGGTTTCTCATCGGAGCCCATCTTTGAGCCCGCGCTCCTGCTCCCTGGTGGCCAGGGCGCGAAACTATATGCCGCCTCGCCTCCCTCGTAGGACGGAGGAAAGCATGGAGGTAGGAAGCTTCTGAAGGCTACATCACGCAACCAGAGGTGAAGCCGGGGGAGACTTCCGGTTTGGACGGACACCCCCCCAACGATGACCAAAAACGACCAAAACCAAAATACGCTATTGGACGGACTTGGGCGCCCTTGGCACCGTTCCCACCGACCGCAACCTCTACTTTTGGCTTCACTTAGGATTTTCTTGTTTGGCCGGCTTGAGCCGGCATTAGGTCCCTCTTCTTCCTACCTATATTATTCTAGTACACTGTACCTACATAGAGGGAAGTATGGCGCACGTGTGTTGACCGTCTCTGCCACCGGGGAGCAGCACTGCTGGCGCAAAGATGCGCTCTGATAAGAAACCGAAACCTAGAAACGCGTCCGAATTTAGAGTGTTTTCTTAGCACCAAAAAAATGCTGCCCCTGCCTTATTTTTTATTTTTTTTCTAAAATGAGTTCATTTAGTGGTTTTGAATTATGCTTAGCAAGTCTCTAATTGGAACCATATGTCTATTTTCACTAATTAAAAAGCTCGTTAGTAAATTTGAATTAAGTATTTAACTAATTCATGCCTTTTTTTTTTTCTTTTTTGCAATTCTTGGCGTTTTCCGTAGCTGGCGATTTGTTTCTGGAATGAGCTTCTTTTTTCTCGACCACCCTATTTTTAGGGATTTTTTAAAGCCTTCACTGAACCAGCCGGTACAATTATTTAATTGTATCAGCTGTTTGTAATTGTACAGCTGAAGTGTACAATTATTTCCGGAACAGCATTGATTCTACCTAAGATTTGCTACGCCCCGCTTTAAATCCCCGAATTTTGTGAGACATGAACATCCTATATAAATAATAAGACTAAAGACACGCAAATGCTTGCGATGTCGTCAAAATGATGGCCCTGGGTTACGAAAGAAAGTCAAAGGCTCTATTTGAACGAAAGAAAAAAAAAAGTTACCTGTCCTCGTTTTGATTTTATATCTACAACGCGTAGGCACGTCCCGACTCCCAAACTGTCCAAGCAAAATCTGCGCCCCTCCAGCCATTTTCCCAGAAAAAAAAAAAAAAAAGAACACGGAATGTTGGCCGTCAGATTCCCACTCCTTTTATTCGCAACACACACGTTCGGCCACAAAGGCGCGTATGCCGAATCTTCGGGTGTGCCGGCCGCCTCTGTAGCCCCGCTGTCACGGCTAATTTCATTACGCATGCGAGTGCTGTCTCGCAACGCGGCACGTAGATCAACACAGAACCCCGAGCGATTGCTCTTCCGTACCCAGTGCCGTCGGTGTGCGTCGGCGCGTTGAAGTACCGTCGACGTCTCCTCAGGTCCACTGGCGATCCGCCATCTGCCGCGTCATTCCATGCTGCGCTGCCGCGCGGCCGCGAATTGCGGCAGCGTTTGAATTGCGTGGCAAGGAGGTTGGGGACACGCCCGCCGTCTGTTCCGTGGTTTGACGCGAGGCAGTCGCTCGATACACGCTCCCTAGTACACACGGCAGCTAGGGAAACTTCGTTTGGACAGTATGCATGACTCAGTTACAGCCGCGCTTCTGGCCAAGTTGCTGCTGAATGGATAGGTTCACCGACCGGGGCTTGAGCTTTTACAGCCTGTTAAAAAACAAAACGCGTTTACCGCCATATACTGCACAGTTGCTCGCTGTGTCGTTGGACAATGAAGTTTTTTCTGTCGTTTCTCGAGTAGCACGATAGTCATAGGCTCTTTGCAAGACTAGCAGATTCAGGGGTTGAAAAAAACAATTTTCTGGTAAATAACAAACAATATGTACAAACATTTCCAGGTACCGCCATGTTTTATAGATGCAAACAGACTCACGCGTAGCTTCAGCTTCGAAAAACAAAGAACTCTGCTTACTTTCATGGACGACAAATGTAGAACCAACAAGTAAATATTTGTCCCCAGCGAAGCTTAGAGGAAATTTCGTTCACCTTCCGCCCGGCCAGTGGAATGTTCATGGCCCACTCACAAAAGCAACGGCGTAATTTGGGTACGGTTCTTCTCGTCCCTTTTAGCGTGTGCATCAGAAGCCCCACTCTATTCCGCCAACAAGTGGCCAAACAATGCACAGCAGAACGCAAGGAGGCAGGAATGTAGCCCTGACATGCTCACGCTGAGTAGAGACTAACGGCCGTGCTCATCTGTGACAATAAAAAAAGCATTGGAAGTTCAGGTACCCAAACATAAAAAAAAACATATACGGATGAACTAAGTGTTATGATTCTATAGTATGCTGGGGTGGCGTTCTCTGAAAGCAATTGTTAAAAATTAAATACGTTTACAATTCTCAGTAATGCCGAATTAGAGCGCAGCTCTTGAGGAGGAGGAGGGGAGGTATGGAGGGGAGGTATGGAGGGGAGGATTACGTGTGACGTCACGAGGGTTAAATTTTCCCGCAAAATTTAGTAGAAAAAATTCTTGCAAAATTTAGCGCGAAAATTTTGCCCTCATTACGTCACACATAACGTCATTATGAGAAACGTCCCATAATGCAACGCGCAGTTACGCCGACGGCGACGGCGACGACGTCGCCGCTCAAGCCGGGAACGGGCGCCAAGAACTCTCTAAAAAAGCACAAAAAAAATCCTGGCTGAGTGTTAGTTAACGCGTAAAAGTAGGTGAATATTTCAGATGACAGTATATTGATATTTCCTTTATTCGTTTTCTATTCACTTTTTCCTGTAACCCAGTGCTCCGCGAGGAGTTCCGGGCGACGCCCAAGTCCTCCCGTGTGGCAGTGGGCGATTCGGCGACGCTGGAGTGCATTGCGCCCAGGGGCCACCCCGAGCCCTCGGTCACGTGGTTCAAGGACGGCGCCCAGGTGGCCACGGGCACGGGGCGCATCCGCCTGCTGGGCCATGGCTCGCTGCTTATCGCAGACGTCAGGCACGCCGACCAGGGCCGCTACGTGTGCAGGGCCGCCAACCTCCTCGGCACCCGGGAGAGCCCCGCTGCCACGCTCTCCGTGCACAGTGAGAGACCCGCTCCTCCCGCGAATCTCGCTTGAAAGGAGCTCCTAGGCTGGGGAAAAAAAGTCAGTGCGAGCAAGATATTGTCGGAAAGAAAGTTCGGATTGATACCCGGCAGCGAAAGGGAATCAGATGCCAAATTTCAGCGAAAACTCTAAAATAAATGTGGCCTATTCAAAAAATGCATTAAGCACTGCCGCATCATTCGTAGAAAAGGCTGCCTCGGTGGCTCCAAAGCAAAGCGCTGGCCTACGTATCCCCAGTTGGCGGATTCGAATCCTAGCCGAGGTGCCCGCAATCTGATGAGGGCTTATTGCGTTGAGGGCGCTGTGTAACCGAGATTTCTGAGTCGCTCCAAAATATCTAAGAGTGGTCGAAATACTTCTCTATTCCTTTACTGAGGTGTACAAGATGTCATTCGTTGCTTTTGCACGTATTAAGAAAGCGATATTTGACTTAGTCGTTAAAGTACACATACCCTCACCGCTGTATGCGTAATCTTAGAAGATGCGCGCGTCTACATCCTTAACCCATTCCTGCAACATATGGAAAGAAATAGGGGGAAAAAAATAGTGAAACACGTTTTGGTCGAAACGTGTTTACATAACGCCGATCATGACCGGCTGATAACGTCCTGTGCAATAATTAACGACTTTTTATTTCGCTAATAAGTATGCCACCTTTCGGTGACCTTCTTTTGACGTGATCGCTGGCGGAGCTCCTTGCCTCAGTCGACCACGGTGAGAGACTCTCTGCCTTCTCTGCGGATTAATTTGAAGTGCGAGCCTTTTTCGCCTCTAATAACCAATGTTGCGTACTGCACAGGAGCACTGTCTTCAGTTAAAATTCAGCTTATTTTTCTCTAAATTAAAGAGGCGGTTTAGAAGAAAATGTACAATGGCGGCTTTACAAAATCCCTCCCACCCTTTACAGTGAGGTTCAGAACGGAAGATAACTAGAAGACAAGACAAACTAAACTATTTACGAACAGAGTCCAGTAAAACAGCTCGACTTAAAGCGCACAATACATGATCAGTGGTAGCATTTTGTCCGTATAATGAAGGCAGTGAACAGGCACGCTGAAACTGATTTTCTGAATAAACTATAGTGTAAATTTAGCTAAGATATACATCACGTGGTCTTTTACCTGGGGGAAGGTTTGCAAAAATCAAGGTAAGATATTATTTTGGCATTGATATTGATAGGGGGGTCCTTGATATAGTTGTCAAATATATACCAATAAGATATACTGGGGTTTTTGGAATTATAACTTTGTAGACTTTCGCTATCCATCGCGGCGAATGTGAGGACTGTAAACGTGATGACCCTAGTCACTGACAGATTGACAAAGGCAGGGAGGAGATTCCGTTGTCCCGCCTCCAGCGCGAGCCTTTCCCATCTTCGTTTATGCTTCGGCGTTTCTTGGGACTTGAGCGTGCACACACAGCCGAAGCACGACGATAGGCAACGAGCGCGCGCCGGGGGCCGGGCCTTGAAAAGACAGCCCCTGCCGTCCTCACCTTGTCAGCTGCTATACAGCAAACTTACTACCTAAGAACTACTAATTAAACTAAATGGAACTTAGAAATATAGCGATGAGCATCTTGCGGGAAATGTTTATTTCAAATGTTTATTTCGAGCCAAATTGTCCGCGATAAGCGCTGAAGTTCGTTGTGTTAATGTTTTCTATCGCGTTCATTTCAGCGAGGCTCTAACTTTCTGTATATTTTTGCACTATTGTGTAAATTGCATCAATATTCTACTTATCTTCTATAGCGTTAGTTCTCTTTTGCAATTTGTTTTTCATATATGTAGTGCACATGTCATGTTTTATTTATGTATAATTTCTTTGGTGCCTTCATCGCGACTGCTGGTTTAGGTGGCTCGTAGCTCGTTAAGCTGTTCTTACAGCTTTTTTTTCTTGTCCCCTTTTCAGCATTGTTTTTGTTGGAAAAAATCAAGGTACTAATATTATACCATTTTAGACGTCTGCCTAAGCAATAGCGCCTTTCAATTATATATTCTAGCCTTTCGTTAAAGTATACCCGGGTAGCTGTATTTTCAAAGGCTGAAGTGTGCTTTGTGCTCTACAGTGGCGATTCTGGCTTGTGGTGCCTAAACTCGTACAAAAAAACGCCCCTCCCCCCCCCCTCCCCCCCCCCTCCCCGCCCCCCCCCCCCCCCCCCTCCGCTCCTCCCCAAGACTGATCGAGCAGTGACGCGACGTTGTCACGAATGAAAAGGGAACTGAGTTATAAAGTAATAAAACACTACTTAATAAGGCGGGCTCGTGCTTACAAATAAAAGGGGCACTGTAATCCTACGACGACGAAGAAGTGGAGAAGTTTGCATCTCGAAACATAAGAAACATAACATAACAAAATTGACTTTGTGCACACAAACAAAAATCGCGCCCCATGGCCGAATTTGACTACCGCCGAAAGAAGTGCAAAGTAAACGCTGCATGGCACTGTTAACGCAAACAAGCAATCGCCTGTATTTTCTTGTTTTCTTTTTAAGAATTTGAAGGTTGACATTAAAACCACTAGTGTGATGGAAAGTGCTTACTTGAGGCACTAACTTACGCAGTAAAGTTTGGCGCCCGCCAATGCCCTTTCGAAGCAAAACGTGAAAAAAGCGACGATGTTGAATTCGCGGCGACTTTGGCACGCAGTGTATGTGCACTAGGGTGACCACCGTCCCGCGACTCGCGGGACTGCCCCGCATTGAGGGCTCGTGTTTCGCGTCCCGCAAGAAATTCCCAAATCTTCAAAATGTCCCGCATTTCATACTGTAGTAAGATTCACTCTGCAACTCATGGTGCTGTCGAACAACGGGGCAAGGGGAAGCGCAATGGGCACTGCTAATCGTGTGAATCGCAATATTACGCCATTTTCTATCCAAGCATTGCGGAAGCGACCGTCGTTCTTGGAGGAGACCCGACGCGCATGCTCCGTTGTGACTCTCCTCTTGGTGGCAAAATATTGTAAGAGAAAATTGTACACCAAAAGCTTAAATATAAAATATTGTAATTATTTTCAAATCGCTGCGTCAGTGTGAAATGCTTGCTGTTGATTTCTTTTCTTTTTTTTTTTAGTGAAGACAGCCGAAAGGCATAATGCCTGCAACATTACAACGGTCGAAAAAGAATAATATAATGCTAAAAATCTGTGTAGGACCATGTTGATAAAAGCAAGCGTTGACGAAAAAGGTTTACTGTTTCTCATTTCCATTTGATGCACTGAGTTCTGCTAGAGTAGATTTTTCTGTTTTCAACTTCGACACATTTAAGAACACATTTAGCATAAAAAGGTATATCACTGGGACTGAAAATTATTTTAGCTTAATTGCTGTAATACAGTTAGCAGATGTATAAACAGCACAGGATATTAAATGTGCTTACAGAGCCTCGGTTCCTGGTGTGCGTGTTAAGAAAATTTCTCTAGCCTCTCCGCCCCCCCCCCCCTCCCCCTTTGTGACCCGCATTTCGCTAGCAGGGGGATGGTAACCGTAATGTGCACCCGCCGCCAATATGAAGATGAACACCTTACCTGCTTTCCTGCCTGTTTTACGGCTCCCTAAAGCTATATTAACTCTCAATGTCTCAAACGGTACGTGGCTTGGGGTCTAAACTTTGAGTTCTAGCCCTCTTATGGAACAAAGCTTGTTCTAAAACTTGCAGGAGCGTCAAAAACAAGAAAAGGGCTGCTCAACTTCATATCGCTCACGGGTGTACATGCAAAGCGAACTTAATGACGTCGACAGTGCGCTCATCAGGCACGTAGCCAGGATTTTGGTTCGGGGGGAAGGGGGGGCGGGGGGGGGGGGGGTGCGCCCATGACAAATGCTGTATGACGGGGAGGGGGGAGAGGAGGCTTCAGCAAAATGAAAGATTTCGGGGGGGGGGGGGGCTGGGCCCCTTCCTTCCCCCCCCCCCCCCCCGCCCCCCCCCCCCCCCCCTCGGTTTCGTGCCGGGCGCTTATATTGATCTGGCTACTAGGTCGAGTACTTGCAGCAAACATTTCTTATAGGCACGTCAATCTTTTAACCAAATATTTCCTCCCATCTGCTGTGGCCTTTTTTAACGACGACGTGCAGCAATCTTATACTTTGGGCGTGTCTGCTGAATAAAGTTTTTTTAACTAAAATTGGCGGATGTTAGCTAATCAGGCCGCTAGTTATTACGTCACGAGCGTTTTATGTCGTCCGCCGCAGCCGACAACGTTATCACGACGAAGCTAGTTCTCTCTCTCAACTTTCAAGAGCCAGATTAAAAAAGAAACGATATATTATCAGATGCGACATTCCGCCTAACTACCAGCATGTTTCATCATTACCTGGAACTGATACACGTGATCTTTATTGCCACAGCAAAGCCGTACTTCGTTCGTGTGCCGGAAGACGTGACGACGCTTGCCGACGAGGCCGTGGAGTTCCAATGCAAAGTCAACGGGGATCCGAAACCCACCGTGACCTGGAGGAGGCAGGACGGGAAAATGCCCGTCGGAAGGTGATTGCTTTTTGAGGTGTTCAGGAAGTCTACGTGAAAACATTCCGAAGTAAATACAGGAAGATGGACTGGCTAACCGGTATAATTGCGTAGCGAGATAAGCATTTATCATAAGAGGCAAAACTCTTTTATAACAAACATTTCTTTGCAGAACCGAAAATGTGGGAAATAGTTTCTTTTTCTTAATTGAACAACTGACATCGTTAGTTGGTTTGGTATTTGTGTCAATCCTGAACTAATGAGTTGTAATTCGCGGCTGTTGGGGGCGCCACTAGTCTCTCTCGCACTCAAACTGCCTCTATAAATAGGCACATGTCTGAGCCGTTTTACCGCCGCATTGTCTTTTATGTGTCCCAAAGTGCACGCATTCCGGTGCGTCTCAACCACGGTGTAAGATACAGTCTTTAGGTGAGGACACGGCGGGGCTGAACGCGCGGCGCGAGGAATCAGATAGTCTTCGGTCGACGGGCATCCGAAAGGCTGCATTATTCTGCGGCCACCGTGCCCACGGCTGACAGTGTCGCCGGCGGCCAAACGGCGAAACTGTGTGAGAGCGAAAAAAATTATCTCGTTGCCATGACACCCCGGTTAACCGTGGTCTTTCTGCACGATCGCGACAACCTCGCTGGAGCTCTGCGCGTGTGGAGCATGAGGCGGCACGAGCCGTCTTTGCCGTGCCCACGGGTCGACGAGTCATCTGCCGGCGCCGCTTGAAACCATAGTGAGAGAGAGAAAGCGAAAGAGTGAAAAGCGAACTTTATCTGCACGTTGCGAGGAGCGCGCTGTCCTCACCTGAAGAGTATTATCTTGCACCGTGGTCTCAACTCAGACACGAAGCTAATGTTTGATGCCATCTACCACCTAAAGTATCCTTAAAGCTTTGCTCCTTCGCGCGCTAGCGACACTTGGTGCGACAAAATATGTCTCTATCCTGAGCCAGACAAATACCGAGGCACCCTACTCTCAGTAGTTCTACGACCAATTAAAAACGTCTGAAAGCGCGTGTGTCTAAAAGGGAAAGCGCCGTTATACTCCCGCGAGCTGGCTTCACCCCACTGTGAGTGTTAGTGGGGGAAAGCCTCACAAAAGCAGCGCCGAGACACGTTTCGGAGAGGAAGCACGAAAGAGAGAGTGAAAAGCGAAAGAAAAAAGAAGAATTAAGAAATTAAGAAAAGAAAACATAGGAGCCACAGTGCACCCTTTCACTGTGTTTTGAAGGTAACAAAAAGAATGCCATGCACGCGCTGACAAATACTTGATATTTAGCTGGAGCTTTGTTTCTGAGAGGGTATTCTACTGATTATAATACGTATTTATACACAACTGTTCGTTGTTGTAGTAACCTCAATTTTTGTGCACTGTTTCATTAAATTACACAAAAAGTCTAAAGGAAGCTATCGAAATACATTTTTTTCCAATGAAAAATATCTATTCATAAGAGTACTAATAGAAAAACCTATCAAAATAGAAAATATTTATTGCCACTTTTAAACCCTTTACTTTCTCTTTCACCCATCGAGGTATAAAATATTTTTAAATGTTAACCAGGCTAAATGTATCAAACTTTCGAATTAATCACTTTGCAGAGCTCTGATATTCTGAAGCTGGTAAATATATCACTTGAAAAAGTCCTAACACCCAAAAATCAGGATACTTTCATAAAACGGGAACCCAGGTTATTCTTTTACCCTAAAGGCCCGTTCACACTCTTGCGACCTCTTAAAGCTGAGTTCCTTAAAACCTCTTACAACAAGAGGACACACTGGCGCCATCTATTAGGTAGCAGTGTAAACGTGGCGGCCCGGCATATTTTCTATTTCTCTCGCGCATTATCCTTTCTTTCTTGGCTCAAAAAAACTTTTGTCAACGTTATAAACGAGTCTTTCTTATAGGTATTATGCACATTTGACCTCGGAAATACCGAAAAACCTTCGCTCTTGTGAAATGCAGTTCCAGGGTTACAGCATAGATAGCACCAGCGTGCCAGCGTGTTCTCTCGTCCTAAGAAAATTCAAGAGGTTTTAACGAGTCTCGTCTCTCTCGGTCGTGCTCGGTGGCAAAAGTTTGAGCGGGCCTTAATGCATTTACCAAGCTACGCGCCACGTTGGCAAAGGCTAGTCTGCTTTCAAAGGCATTAAAAAGGTGCACAAAATACAATGACGGAGAGGGACAAACAACACGGACGTGTGTCTCTTTTTTGTCTCTGTTTTTCTTTTGGGGCATCCTAACGCCTTTGAAATTGCGAACAAGCTTGCTCAATTCAAAGCTTTAGCTGGACTGCTTTCTTCTTTATCCCTTTATAATTCTCTTTCCTCTCTTTCTCTCGTTTTCTTTATGTTCACCGCTTCTGTTCTTTCTTCTAAATCCATACAGCATTTTTTTTTTGCTTTACTTTATTTATTTCTTCATTCACCCACAAATTAAGCTAAAAAATTGAAGGCGTGTGGAAAAAATTCTAATTAGACATATCTTGAAAGTAAAAAGAAAATTTTGGGTACATCAATATTAATTTGTCTTTGCATTTTAATATTAGATATAGCACACATCACTCAATTTCTCTTTCAAATTGCACACATGCAGCTTATTTATCTTCAAAAATATAAAACCTAGTAATTAAAAGTCCACCACACCCTAGAAGCTTTCTGTGTCAGGCAAGGACACAATGCCCTTGACATAGCAAGGCGGGCTGATCACTAATCTGATATCCATAAGTTTTGAGACAAACAAGTGCCATTTATTTTGCATCTTGATTTTATAATTTGTATGTTATTATTCGCCTAAATAAGGTCTAAAGTTTTTTTATGGATTTTGTATTTTAGAGCCTCCATCCAGGAAAACAAGAACCTACGCATACAGAATGTCTCGCCCATGGATGAGGGAACCTACATCTGTGAATCTGAGAACTTCGTTGGCTCCGTTTCAGCATCTGCTAGTCTCACCGTGCATTGTGAGTGTCAGAGTGCACCTGATACTTAATGTTTTTTTTTTTATTACATTGGACTATCTAATTTTATAATTTCCTGTATCGTTTACAATGTGTGTGTGTTTTTTGTTCATTCTTAGAAATAAAAAAAAAATTCAAACACACCTGATATTTTTTTACAGCTTTCTGCAAGTATGTTGTAACTAAAATATGCTGGCTGCAGTGACAAAGCTATTGCCATAAATACAAACCGATGAAGTCAAAAACAAGCTGCATAGACCAGTTTTTAAAAGTTAACTTGAAATCTCACATTGCCAACTTAGATATTGACAGAAGTTAAAACTTGTCCACTGGTAAACTTGGCAGGTAGGAAAAAAATGACGATGCAAAGAGACTTGCACCCTACAGTACTTTGCAACCTGGAGCATTGAGGTAAAAAGCCTATTTTAATCGATAACCCATGCTTCCAGCTCGCCCCTCATTCAGACTGACACCTGAAGACCAGAAAGTGGGGCTGAATGGCGTTGCCAAATTCGACTGCTTTGCGACCGGTAATCCTCAACCATCTGTCTTCTGGACCAGAGAGGGTGACCAGGTGACATTGCATCTTCTCTTGCGATCATGGTTTTTGCATACCCTGAACCATAACTTTTCTTTCAATCTTAAACTTCTCTGTCCTTTCTTTGTCTTCCTCTTCATCCCATTAATTTATTTCAGGCACCTTAACTTATGTTGACTGTATTAACAATAAAATGCGCGACAAAAATATTTAGCCAGTTAAAGGATACCATTTGAGTTGACATCTTCATTGTTGATCTATAAAAGTAGCAGATGACAAGAAGAGAGCATGTGAGTATACGGTCAGAGAAAAATAAAATTCAGGCAATTTTTTTTAATAATTGCCTAAACTTCTTTTCTTTCTTGCTTGGCTACTCCACCAAACAAATGGTTTGAAAAATGTGACAGCATAAAACGAAAAGGGGAAAGATATATTAAAGAATGGTGCGAAAAATGAGGACAAAAAATGAAATATCTAGGCAAATTAACCCTTTCTTGCAACTGACAGTTTTAATCAACATAGGAGACATGCTAGATATGCTCTCAAAACGGCATATAAATTGCGATTGTGAGTGGCGATGAAGGCTAATAGCTGAGTATACAAAAAAAAAATCTATGTAGTGTATGCAGGGGACAGGGGTTGTTCAGCCAGTTTGGAGTTTGGAGTAATCTCTGAAGCAGAAGAAAACCTCATTTTCGAGCACCTTTGTATAAGAAAGTTTACTTTTGAGCAGCACAATGTAAGTTTGGAGCAATCTGGTATAGTTCTCTATTAATGATGCCGGCATGCATTCATGTAATCAGTTGCGTGACGCCAGTTGAGAACAGCAAAGTTAGCAGTCATTCTGTACTACTAGCCTAATTTCCCTTCGACTGTTATGCTATCCCATAAACTTAGTCAAATTCGTGTTTTGACTCTATTTGTGCTAGGTGACGAAGGATAGCAGGATTGAGGTAAGCGCGCTAACTATCACCATAGAAAAGTCGAAGTAGAGCATCAATTTCACCTTTAGAGTCTGATAATAAAGATAGGTAAATTGGCACTATACAAGGTCTTCTCTTGTGATATAAAAATCAGCATTGTCTGGGCCTCATAATTGCTGAAGACAACATGAACTGCCACAAACATTTTATTTGCAATGACACTTTCTGACGACCTTTTACTGTGGAAACATCCAATGTCTGATTTGCTTTGTTTTTCTTCGGTTGTGATAGTTGCCGGAAAGTTCAAGTTAGTAGACAAAAGCATATTCAATATAAATATTCTGGGCTTCCTAATGCAGACTCTTTAACGAGTATAGTCTGATCGAGGATTCGCATCATTTGACATGAAAAAAGGCAACAATTTCTAATCACGCAGTCCCGACCAAGCATGCTAATGAGATGGGAACTATGTGCCAGCACATTTCCATAGAACAGTGCACATTTCTGAACCTAGGCATGCAAAAAAAAGAATTGCTTGCGCTTGTTAATCTGCAGTAACAAAATGGTTGATTGGGCTAGTTGGTTCATATTCATTCGGACGAAAGCTCCTCAGAAAAACGGGGCAAAAGAGGACACAACAACACAGAGTACTAATTAGCTAAACGTTTTATTTAAAAACATTATTGTACAATATAAGACTGGCAGAAGAGGAAAGCTGCGTCGGTAATCGGTAATCTGTAACTTATCGGTAATGTGCACCGAAGGTGCACATTACCGATAAGGAATTCGCCTTTTTATGCGGGGAGGGCGATTCTGTCTAAAATAATTGCGTGTTTTCAATAACTATTTCAGGTGTGAGTATCCCTTTGTGCTGTATTGTCTTCGTTGTCCCCGTTTTTCTGATGCGCTTTTATCTGAATAATTTCAGTAGTGCGCTTCGAAATTCAACTAAAACTCAGTGATGTCATTGCTGCGCCAATTGCGTCAAACTGCGCCAAGGGGCTAACCCTGCTAATTCCTGCAACATTTTGCCAAAATGTGGGTAATCTGCGCCAAGCCTCCGCCAAAGGACCAATTTTGGTCGCCTTTGAAAACCGAAACTAAACTGGGTACCGTGATTGAGAACGCATAAGCTAGGTGGTGCAAGCAGCCATCCGACACAAAGTACCCTGCATCAATCGTTCATCCGGCCTTGCATGATTTTTCCCGCCGTCTCTCGTCTCCCGTCTTTTTAAAAAAAAATTCAATGATAAACGTGGGCGTGTGCGGAATCTCCTATGCTAGCGTGCTGGGTACCACCCCTGCCGTCATGCTGTGAAACGAAACCATGTTTTTGCGCGGCGGGGGTTACTTTATGGGCTGAAGCACTCGCTCCTGAAAGCAACGGCCGTGGCCAAACTATATTTGATCCCTGCCTGCCAGCCACCATGGTCGCGCGGCGTCGGGTGTTGCCATCTCCACGTCACTGCAGTTATGGCACTTTCCAAACTGAAACGGAAGGACTGCCGCATGTTCATCAACAATCCTGTTCTTGTTTAATACGCTACTCCAAACATCCCTTTAGCTCGAAGACTGCAGTGTCGAAGTATTGATTGTCTAGGTTTCTCTCGGTAGGCTTTCTTTCGAGACGTACCCCGGTACGTGAAAAATCATCCGCGAAAGATGTTGGTGAAGAAAAGTGAGATAAAGCAAAGAAGGCAATGTCCGCATGCTGAACCCGCACAGCGTGCTTATTTGTCTCGAGTTCAGTCGTTGCACAAAGCGCTCCAAGAACTTTTTGACCCTGACTCGCGATGTCTTGCATCAAAGCGCTCAGGTTCTTTTTTTTTCTGTGTTTAGCTTGTACCTCGCCTGCCGGACTGGCAAGTACGTGCCGCTAAACTTTTTTTTTTTTGTATGTTGGACAGTTACAATTTGCATACAATTATTGGAATTAGTCGGAGACGGAGCGGAGTGGCATGGTTTTGATCGAACAGCCATCTCCGCTCGCGCGACAATTTCGCATTACACGGCAGTAGTTAGGTGTTTCATCAGTTAGAGACTGCTTCCATTTATTATATTACTAGTCAACACAGTGATGTGATAATAGAGAGTTTTGGTAGATCATGTTTTCGGGTCACGCAATTTGTAGCGGGAGCTCGCGCTACCTCTCTGATGCATGCTCTGAAGCGCGCCTGTAGCTGTAGCGGGCCTTCGAAAACGATCTACTAAAACTCTCTATTTACTACTAAGCTGGTCATTTTCAAATAAATTTTAATATGTGGAGTTTCGTCCGATATATTCGTATCATTTACCTGAAGCATTGCAAAATGTGTTATATGTCATTGGCATTTCAGTTACATGTTGAAAGACTCCCAGGTGGTCTATCTTGACAATAATTGGTTGATTGCGGCGAGCAATGTGTCCTTCGTTTGTCCACCACCTAAAATTAATATTTTTTTCTAAGAATATCTGCTCCAAAAGCCACTTTCGCTGCTCCGAAGCACTGTTTTAGCTGCTCCAAAAGCCAGTTTTGCTGCTCCAAAACTCTGTTTTCGCTGCTCCAGAAGGTGCTCCAAAACGGTTTAGGCCAATCACATCACTGAAAACTGTTAAAACCGTGCTACGGCACGAAAATCAGTAAAATTTATGTGTCATACAATACCGCGGCGCCGGAACCTAGATTGGACTGTGATGGCGAAACCCGCTAGAGTTTCACAGTTGCCAGATGAAAATATAATTTTTTCCAAAAACCTATTCGTTCGTTGATTTCTTTGTTTTGGTGCGGTTGGGCGCAATTTTCCCGTCTGGAAGCAGCAAGACGCAGGGCGCAATAAATCTTTTCCACATAAAGACGACACCAAGTGGTTAAAACTCCAACTACAGTTGGTGTGTAGAATGGGAGCTGCGATACATTTCCTGCGTTCTCTGCAGCTGATCCGGGTCGCGGAACAGGCAGGAGAGGTAATGCAACCATTCTTCCTGACGTCAACCGAAGTTCGAGCTTTCGCCGCTGCGAGAGGAAAGCGTGCGCAGGTTCAGAGCCCTTTTTGAAAAAGGTCCATTGGACCATCCCCCAGTGTAGTACAAAATACAGTACAAGCTTACATAGAGACCACAGCCTCCAAAAGGGGTTAGCAGTATTCAGACATAAATAAAAGTAGGTTCAGATATTCTAAACCAGTGGTTCTCAAATGGAAGTCTGAGGACCCTTTGGGGTCCCTGGAGGCTTTTTTGGGGTCCCTGGAGTCTTAGACCATCAGTCGAGCCAAGCACTAAAACTTTTCTTTTATTTATGCTGGCTGCCCTACAAAGTTAAACAGGTGAAGCCATGTGCACTGAGTGAATAGGGTTGCTATATTCTTTGCTCGAGGGCTGCAAAGTTGGTTTCCATGCATTTAGTTTCCTTCATTTACCATTTTGTCATTGTAATCGTTCAATACTGCCCCCTGCTTCCCGGCAGATGGGTCCCCCCTCACTTCCGCCGGTCCAGAAGGGGTCCCCAAAACATCTGTGATATAAAACCACTGTTCTAAACAAATAACTTTTGTCCAGTTGAGAAAGAAAAAAAAAATTCTTTGTTTTCAGAGCTTGTCATTTCTGGAGGAGTACGGCTTTATAAATTAATGTACTGTAATATTTTAACGCATATTAAAAGAAAGTCCGAAGTTCAGGAGCTTTAAACCATTCAACTATTGAAAATTGAAAACTATTAGTATGAGCCTGCCGGGTTTGCTCTTTCACAAAACACTCAAACTGACCGACGCTTTCTTGGCTCTCCTACGACAGGTGCTCATGTTCCCCGGAAAGTCACACGGCAGGTTCTCAGTCACGAACGAGGGTACTTTGGTCATCTCGAGTGTGCGCAAAGAAGACAGGGGCTACTACACCTGCTCTGCACTTTCTGTCGTGGGGTCTTCAATGGCAAAGGGCCACTTGGAGGTTACTGCAATGGCCGACCTCCCACCGCCGGTCATTCGTTTGGGTCCGGCCAACCAGACGCTGCCAATCAACACTGCGGCCATCATGCCATGTGAAGCGACAGGCAAACCAACCCCGACGGTGCGCTGGCAGTACAATGCAGTCCCCTTGCAGACAGATACTAGGCCCAGATTTGTGATCCTTCAGTCGGGAACATTGAGGATTAACGGTAAGTTGTGTATGATTATTGGCTGGTGTTTGATGCACGGCAGTCGAGCCATAGTAGGTTGTGAACCGGGTTTATTTGAAAGCATGTGTTAATATAGGCACCGCTGACTTCGGGCGTAGGCTAGTATGAAGATGTTAAGGATGATAAGTACAGTTACGAATGATTACAACGTGTCATCGAGTGTTGCTTTTCTTCCGATAATGCAGCACATAGAACCAAGCGTAAGTAAACACGATCAATAAACATAAGGCATGAACTCCCTATTAGTGGTTCTCCTATGGCACGCATGATGAATATATTTCATATTTATTATTTATAGATCCTTTCCCCTACTTTACACAGAGTGATATAAAATAAAACCGGTTGACAAAGAACCTGTGTGAGGATCTGACATTTTCCTTTCCCACAAAATGCTGAACTCACATTTTTAGGGAAAATTTAAGATGCTAGAAATTGACTAACCTTCTTAATGGGTGCTCTTTGATGAGCCTGTGAATGTACTTTGGTAAAACAGCTTCGGTCTCTTTGGTAACTCAATGGTGTTAGATCTCATTGAATGGCAGTGTGGCAATGCTACTATACTATCTTTCCCAAAAAAATTCTTGTTCGAAGCTAGCGCATCCACTACATTAAAAAAAATACTGGTCCTAACTACCATTGCTCCCGTCTTTTGCGACGGCAAAAACTCCTTGTTTAAGTGCGAGGAGGAGAGTGGAGGGCGGCAGTAATTTGCATTTTTCGAGAGATTTTCGTCAATTCTAAAACCATACGAAATGTTCAAAATTCGGGAGTCTCCCGCATAATACATTCGACTTGCCAGGAGTGCTTTTGGTCAAACAAGGACTTATTTGGGGACCCTGTAAATAATATTTCTAATATAAAACAGATCCTCCCTCAAGCACATTATTATTGAATTTTTTATTCAATTTCTAGGTTTACAAATTCTGGACAGTGGAATGTACACCTGCACAGCATCCAGCGAGAGTGGAGAGACTTCCTGGACGGCCTCTCTGACTGTCGAGTCTCCACACAACCCCAATGTCAACTTCCACCGGTCCCCGGATCCCTCCACTTTCCCTGGGCCTCCTTCCAAACCCGTTGTTGTCAACATAAGCGAAACTTCTATCACCCTCACCTGGAGGCGCAGCGAAAAAGTCGGAGAGTCCTCGTTGAAAGGATACACGAGTAAGGCCGCTGGGCACTGCACTGATTTATGTTGATGTTTAAGATCCTTCACCCTCGTTTAAGCCTTGACAGATGGAATAACACCTAGTATGAAGCCTCAGAAAAAGAAAGGCTCAGCAGTGTACTTGTCTATTTCAGTTGAATACTACAGCAGCGATCTGCAAAGTGGCTGGGTTTCAGGAGCACATCGTGTGCTCTCTGAAACATACACCATTCAACCACTGCGGCCTGACTCGCGCTACATCTTCATCATTCGAGCTGAAAATTCTCACGGTTTGGGGCCACCAAGTCCTGCCTCTGATACCATACGCACTTTAGGTAGGTACTATTTATTCATTTATTGTTGTTCTAGCCGCCTTGGTGGCTTTAAGGCGAAGATGGCGGATCCGAATCACGGCCGAGATGCTCGCAATCTGACGGAGACTAATTGCAGAGAAGGCGTGCAGCCGAGCTTTCACTTGCACGTCAAAAGATGCCCATGTGGTCGAAATCAATCTTCAGACCTTCGCTGTTGCGTGCCAGATGTCCGTCGTTTGCTTTGGCACGTCGAACGCCCAAATTTGACTATTTTTCTAAATAAAATAGCACAAGTCACCTGAACTAAAAAATGGAATAGCTGGTGTGAAGTGTTGCATGAAATTACTGGGGGCACATGAAACCCTCTTAGCTAAAACAGGCTACTATATCCTACTCCAGGTTTTTCTCAAGCTAAATACTATGTACTTCGATACAAGCTTGAATTCCATATTCATTATCAGAGGAATTAGTTGTGGTTGTGTTGTCCCCATTTTAATTTTTTTATTCTTTCTTCATTCATGACACAGTAGAGCTATTGTGCAGTAATTGAACAGTCATGCCCATGTTTGCACTTCTAATTTATATCGCTATAACGTTGAACCATGTAGATCTTAGAACATGTTTGGACGGGCTTAATTAATCTTGACATCGTTCCCTCATGCAAAGATGAACATCTCCCTAAATACATTCTTCACGACCGGATGAGTGAATTGTTGATGGATCTTTGTTATCTTTTATTATTCCTAGCTTTTACCGAAGACCTGAAAATAATTGGAGTGTCTCATGTTTCAGGGTTAGCTCCTCATTTTCTTCCCGAGTACAATCTGGATGAAGCTCGGGCCAAGTTGACCTCTTGCATGGTGACTCTAATGGACATGCGTGCTGCAAGCTCCACCGCTGTAAAACTCACCTGGAGGGTATGAACAACCTCTTCTGACAGCTTCACGTTATGACAGCTTGTAGGACAAAACTTAAAGCGAACTTTCCGGATATGATGAGCTAAAATAACTTAGCTGCTTTTGTTGAAAATATATGAAGCTTGTTAATGAATTACTCACGCTACCTTGGAGTTATTCCGATAATGTGTACACAGCAGTACTCAATGTGTAGTACTTTGTCATGGGCTAGTTTACCTCTGCACTTCTCAGGTGAAAGTGTTTATCTAAATCGGGCAGGAGAAGATACTGAAACATTTGGCAAAGTGCATAATGAATGCACAAAATTCATGAGTGAAGATAGAAGCTTGACGATTGAGAACACATTAGCTGTAATATGTACTCTCTAAGGTTGTTCCTAAGAATGACAAGAATTATCAGAAAGAAATATTTTGTACATTGTGGAAATTTATATTTCTGAAACAATGGCAGTGATGCCATTGAAATGTAAATCAACCTCCCCCCCCCCCCTTCCTATACTGCAATGTATGTGTTATTTCACTCAAAATACAGATTCAAGGAGATAAGGATTATGTGGAGGGATTCTACATTCGATTTCGAGATGTGAGCGAAGGATTGCAGAGCTACAACATGGTGACTGTGCTCAACGGAGGAGCCTCGTCCTACATCCTCAACGATCTCAGGCCATATGCAAAGTATGAGTTCTTCTTGGTACCGTTCTACAAGAGTGTGGAAGGACCACCTAGCAACTCAAGAAGTGTCCAGACATTGGAGGACGGTGAGAGAAAGGCTTGAAACTGTATAATCAGGAAGAAAGTTTCAAGCCCACAAGAAAACAATTTGGGCTTCTAGGCTACAAAGAACAACTTAGGTAACAAATAGCCAATGGACTAGAGTGTAAATAGATTAATTGCAACTGATACAAAACTAACCTTCTCTATAGATTGTATGAGCTCCTTTGGCATGTATATGCGCTATAGATCTATCTGGGTTTTAAAAATTTCATTGGCACTGGTGCTGACCGAAGTTTGATGGCAAAGATAAAAAAAGAGCTACATCTAGTTATAACTAGAGTTCTGCATGGATATCAATTTGATCATCCGCATCCAATCCGCACACGAAGACTTTGTATCCGCATCTGAATTGCATCGGCAATGTTCTTGCCGATGCAATGCCACATGCATGTGCCACATGCATGCGATCCGCATCCACAAAATTTGGAACTGCATACGACCCGCAATTCGCAGATTCACACATCAAGCTTGAATAAAAATCATAGCTTTGAAGCCTTCTACTTATCTTTGTACAAATAACTTTCAGAGTTAGTATACGGGGGGTCATTTTATCGTGCTTTGTTTTATATAATTTACATTATAAGCGATGATTCTTCCAGAGATACTTCGCATCGCTGGAAAGATGATCGCATTTACCAGATCCTCCTGGGAGTCTGCGACACTTTGCCAAGAAGATGTGCTCAAAAGGGAACAAAATATTTTCCGCTACTCATTTTAAGCGGACGCATATTTTCTAAAGAGGAAAATTAATGAAGGACAGACAATAACATTTATTTTATTTCGGTCAAACGATAAAAAACGTAAGAGGGGAAGCGCGGACACTCACCGCAGCGAAGTACTCCTTTAAACTTGGAAATACAGGAGTACATCGCTAGGAAAATGTCACAATATTCAATAATAGTAACATCTATCGGTTTCCGTTTTATACACGGACCCGCAACTGCCTACTCCGAACCATATACTTAGCAGCAGCTTGCCATTTGTCGAGAAAAAAAGGACGCACACACGTGCACGTTTCACTTATCGAGCTCAAGGTGTAGAAACAGAATATCGTCAACGATACACAGATTCAGACTGGGTCACCTCTTTTGAATTACCAGGCCCGCTAAAAAGAAGTCTCTCTCTGCTGGTGCACTTCAGAGTACTGGGAAAGCATGCACGAACTCTGCTACAAGAATGACGTACATAAACTTGTACCTCATTCTTGTGGTAGGTGGTTTCTTCAACTTTTTTGTGGCTTGTATATTTTGGGTTTTCTTTGCCAAAAGTATGTCTTCCGCTCTTTCTCTGCCAAACAAGGACACGCTTTTCCGGGACGATTGATGCCCAGCATTTTTTACTATTTTTAGGGACAGCGTTTTTGGCGAGATAGAATGCTCTAAAGCAATCCTTGGTAGAATAAAGTCTTTCTTGGAGTAAAGAACAATTTCCTTCTCGATTGGCACCATTTTTCTAAGAAAGCAATTTGCTCCCGCAAACCCATTCGATGGTGCGCTTTATAGTATAACTCACTTTTTCAGTCTGCACTCGGCAGTCACGCACGTTTATGGGTCGCCTCGGAAAAAAGGTAGATCGGGACCGGCGGATCTCCGCATCCGCAGCCCCTGGCGTCCGCATCTAATCCGCAATCCACCAAATATGATTAATTTTTATACGTATCCGCCAGTTGACTGCGGACATCCGCGGATGTGCAGGACCCTAGTTGTAACTTTATGGGAACCATATTTGCGCCATAATTGATCTTGATCATGCAGGTACTAGTGGTGTTGCCACCATTGCTCTCAATTCTACTCCAGCGGAGAAGCTGGCATAATTATTCACTGGTGTGCTACCTTTGCAAAAAGAAAAAAAAAGAAGTGTGCAATGTAAACCCTTAAAATTCCGACCATATCTGTTGTCGGCAGTGTGTTCCAAATGTGCAGAAGTTTGGAGCAAACTGGAGATCACAAAAGTTTCCCCGATATTTTTAAATATGTAGATGCTTGAGGTGCCCTCGTTGACATTTGAATGTCTGCTTTGTCCTTATAGCAGAAAACAAAATTTATTTCTCAGTATATATATTGTGACAATCTTTTTTTAATTCAACATACAGCTCAACAAAAAAAGAACATGTCAATATTGTTGGCCAACACAACAATGATCGCAGTAGGCGCCATATGCTTCATGTACACACTCATGCATGGAGCAATGCAGCAAAGCTGCCAGCACAGATATACTTGAGATGTATATACTGGTCCTGTGAGTGACATGCCATATATCTTAATCATATCCATAAACCTTTCCAGTTCCAACGGCAGCTCCTGAAGATGTTAGAGCTCATGTGTTGAATGTTACCACTGCCACAATCTTCTGGTCTCCTCCTCCTCCTCAGCACTGCAATGGAAAGCTGAAAGGCTATAATGTGAGTCTGAGCTGTTTCCCTGCACCCCTCTTCTGCCTTGACCCCAAATCATAACTAAGGGATTCCAAAGTGTCTAGTACTAATGTATAAATGCATGTCTTATCAAGTATACATTCTTCCCCAGTTTCTTATGGCACTATACTTTCATGTTAAAAATGTGCCAGTGGAATTGCAGGTTTATCTAACAGGAAACCTGTCTGAGCCCTTTTTGAACAAGAGTACAAACTCAACGACAAACTCCCTGCTCGTGACAAACCTCAAAGCGGGATCTTCTTACAAAGTTCGCATTGTTGCTCACACCTCGGTCGGCAGCGGGCCCCTGAGTTCTCCAGTCCTTTTCAGAATGCGTGAGTTCAGAGCCGCCTTTTCCACCCTTGCGAATTATTTTGAAGGCAAGGACATTAAAATGTGTTTTGAGAAAGTCTTCTTATTTTGACACTATCTTAGTTAATGTGTTGGACTTGTGCTCTCTTTCTTTATTAACAGATAGCCCATCTTCAACGTCATTGTCCACTCCTTTTCACAACATTGTGAAGCAGTCGTGGTTCATTGCCCTCATTGGGTGCCTCACATTTATAGCCGTCAGCATGTTTGTACTCTTCGTGGTTCGCAAGCGAAAGCTCGAACTGAAGAAGGCAATTACAGCAGGTGAGGAAAAGGGTTCAGAAGTCATTTTATGTGTCTACAAATGTCACCCCAGCACTAGAGTCAACTTTAATATTAACTCTTTATTTCAGTTCCAGTTCACAAGTCAGAGGACCTAAGGTAAGAGGCAATTCAGTCCTTTGCATCCTAGATTGAGAATGCTTTTGATTAGTTGAAACTGCATGACTACAAGAGCACCACTGTGAATGAAACTGCTGATGCACCCTCCTCAGCAACTGCTTCAATTCACTAACTGGCAGGACGGGTCTTAGTCCGCACGAGGCCTTGTGGATTAACCATAGTGCCTGGAGGCCCTGCGATTCTTCTAAAGATGGCTTCTGTGAGACTAAGCTGCTTAACAAGATGGACTGCACTTCCAATGATCTTAACTACTCCAGGTAAATAACTGATCGTTTTTACCACTACTTCAATTGCTTGTACAAAATGTGGAATGGGAACAAACACTAGTGGTAGACAAAGAATGGGACCCAAATGAATAGCAAAGCAATACAAATGTGTCTCTAATATTTTGATTTCGTTAAACAAAAGCTTCCTAAACTTCTATATTATAAAATGGTTTGCATTGAGTGCAGCAACTGGCAACATTGCTGAAGTAACCAACTGTGGATATTATTGAATGTTTTGAAATGCTTCTCTTATTGATTTCCCAAAACGAAACAATGTCTAGTTTTACATGCTATTTTGCTTGAGTCAATTTATATAATGTTGCAACCAGGGTTTACCCTAAAAGCCCAACAAAGCTTTTTAGTTTGGTTCAGGATGTTTAGTGAATATAAGAAGCATTCTTTGTGGAGTGAGTTTTATGAATATTATGTTATTTCCATGAAACTGGAATATATATATATATATCAATGCATTACAGAACAGACCTACTAATTGTATGACTATTTGAATCGGTATTTGAATATACCAGTGTTCCATAAAATATAGATAGGCTGGCTTTATGCATGATTGTCTACCTAATTGCCACACCTCATGATGCAATAAACATGCTGCATTACATTAGAACATCAATCATGCAAAACAAGTAATGCATGTCAGAACTAGCCACATGTTTAAAAAGGCAAAAACTAGATGTCGTGGGTCCTTATATTTCACTCCGTAAAATTTAGGAATTTTATTCAAATATCATAAATAGTAAAAACAAAAACCTTTCTATGGAGCATCGTTCCTCGACAGCAGCTAAATAGGATCATTCACCCATTAGAAGTGTCATGCGTTCAGCAGTGCAGAGTGAAAGATAAGGACCCACGACATCTAGTTTTTACTTCGTTGTAAACGCCCACTAGATGGCCTTACTTCATGCTGCAAGAGGTTGCTCCATGTCGTAAAATGAGCAACTTTTAATGAACCTTTGTGTCACCTATACACTGTTATCACGTCCAAAGTAAAAACATTGCGGCCTCTGAAATGTGCCTGAGAAGGTTCGTCGTTTTTAAGTGCATAGAATAGATTGCTTCTGCCCTGTCGCTCTAATATCTCTTGAATCTTGTATACCAATTTCTTTCATTCTCATAAGTGACATTATGATAGCCCTCTCAATTCACTTCTTAAACCACACCACGCTGTATACCCCTCTCAGATGTGAATCTTTAAGCCTGGAAATTAATTTCAATTTGTGCAATACTATATGGCTTGAATGGAGTTCCTAACCTAATTTTGGGGCCCCATCTAGTTGCATTCCAAGTTGCTCTAATGTATTTTTTTGCAATCATGCTTGTGAATTAACACAGATTGTTTGTGAAGATCAGGAATACTCTTACTTTCCGAACAAATCAATAGCACTACAATTATTTCTTAAGAGCAGAAGCTAGCATTTAATTTCCCAGAACGGCTCAGCAGATCTCGCAAATGATTGGAAGTATTCTGTTAGGTGGTGGGAATCGAAATGCAGGTAGTTACCAGCATGATAGGATAAATTAACCTTTAACTTTTGCTAGTTACACTATTGCAAGATGCAGTTAGCTTAAAGTTGAATTTTAAAAAATTAAACTGAAAAAAGAGCATCATCATAATTGAAAACTATCCTGCATACAAGGTGAAATATTTTGTTAGAAAAGTTTTATAAGCATTATGCACAGTTAAGCAAAAGTAAATATGTAAATATATTTCAAGTATGTTTTTTATAGTGTGAATACTAAATTATGTTCAAGTTCAGAATAAAATACTGAAATATATTGGTTGCATGATGTTCACCACCTATTAAACTTCTCTTTTATTTTTTACTTCTCTTTTTTACTTCTCTTTTATTTTAGTGTCTATGCACCACTTCATTGTGGCATCAATGCTCCCGACTATGCAGAGGTTGATACACACAACTTGACAACTTTCTACAAAAAAGGCCTTCCTTCAGTCCCTGAGCCCTATGCCACAACTACATTGATAAATCCTTCACTCCACAAAAGCTTCAGTGGTTCCGTGAGTGTCAAGGAGCATTTGATCTTGGTGCATGATTAGACACTATGTGTATTATTGTAGTATATTATTATGTCATATAAGCACATGAACAGATGTTATGCGCTTCCAAGTACTTATGGCATAAGAGCACTTAAACAGATGCACAGTGCTTTGTTTTATCTTCATCGATTTTCATATGGTTTTAAGACATAGTGATACCAAATTTTCTTCACTAATATTGTAGCTTATTTGCATATATTTGAAGTAGGTTTTAGAACCCTTTTTTGCTTTTAATATTTTTATTAGTTTAAACATGGGTATATGGACGCTCCTGAGATGAATGTAAAGTACCAGTTAAGGACAAGCTACTTAGCATTTCCTATCAGGGACTCAAACCGAAAACTATAACGTTTCGGTTACGGTTACCGTTTCCTGTTGATATCGGTTTCGTACCGGTTTTTTACGGTTTTAAGTTTTACGGTTTCAGCTTATAAAAACGTTCCTAGAAACCGTTTATTTCCTTTTTCTCATATAAGTTGCTTTATTGGAGTGCTAGACAGCCGTTTTATAATAAAAGGTTTAAAGTAGTCCCAGATATCCAACAACGGGAAAAAATTGTTTGTGGGTATGTTTTACTCTGCCTACAACGAGCGATTTGCCTCTCAGCTGTAAATGAGCAATTTAGCCAGTGCAGTACAACCGCTAGCCTGGGGACTTTAACATGTACCCCGCAGTAGTGATACACGATTGCACGGCGTTACGATGCACATCCAGATTGAAACGTGCAGGGGTAAGGATTTAGCCCAGGATCCTAGGTTATGCAGCGCGACCTTCCGCTCTACGTGCTCCTAACTGCTGTGCGCTAGACCGCTCAGCCACCAATCCGCCTCCAACAACGGGACCTTCACAAAACAAGAACTCACGTCTTAGTACTTCTAATTGGTCAAAAGTTGTACACGTTTCTAACTCCAGCACTTGTTCATTACACTAGTTTATGATGGCCCTCTCTTTTCACCCTCTCCTTTCAAAAGAAAAAAGAAAAAAAAAATGGCGAACGCAAAAAAGATTATGTAAGGGCGGTTTCATTTGGATTCAGGCAAGTCGTATTTTTTATTTTGCCTCGAATTTCTATATGTTGTGGCGTATGTTACAAGAATAACAAACCTTTTTATTTTAATGTCCTGATATGTTTAGTTTCTGAGAAAACAAATATGTCAAAGAAGCGGGAAAAACAACGAGGTTTTTACGATTGCCGTGCGGCGTTTTGGAGTCACTCTCATTCTCAAAGAATTTAAAAGAGAGCGTCTACATTTTTAGTGTAATATATATGCAAGTAGGTAAAACGACATTATAAGTACTATTTATTATTCGTCGCTTCAATCTTTGTAAAAATCCATAAACATGCCTCCGCGAACAACTGTGACCTAAAATGCGGATTTTTGTTTTTTTGAGTCGACTATGTTTAGTATTGCTTTTAAAATAATACCACTTGTAAAACCTTTCAGTGCCTTCAAAATTAAGCAAAACGTGTGCCTTTATCGTGTATGAGTACTGAGAAATAAATTATGAAACAGATGGGTTTAACTTTTCGTTAAATTTCAGCAGGTTGTATAAAAGAGAAAAACCCTTTTTTTATTTATTTTTTTCTCGCGTCGCGTTTTTTCACACCTTTTTTTTCCCCAGAATACATTCCGTTAGAGGTATGTGCACTGGTTTTAAGTTTAAAGCCTTTAAATATGCTAAAACAATTATTCTGTTCTGTTATCAACATCAATTCTGCATTCGAAATATAAAATTTCGCATTCAAAAATCTAGGCTTCGAATATGAAGTGTATTTGATATTTCTAACGTAGTATAGATTATGTAGCGCGTAGGGTTTAGGCTTGAAGCCTCTCCAGTCATGGCACCGGAGGAATTTGTCTGAAAACCTGCTTTCGGCAGTTGCGATTTTATAGTGTTTAGACGTTTGGGAATTGTAAACTTGTTATTATACGCCTAACGACATCAATGTCTTTTATATGATTATTTATTAAACGACCCTTAGATTATTATAATAAAGAATAAAATATACAGCTATAAGCCATAAGCCTACCATCGACATTTGCTCTTTTTTAGCATATTTAGCGGCTTAAAACTCAAAACCAGTACATATACCTCTAACGGAATGTATGCTGGCTACAAAAGAATGTAAAAAAACGCAACGCGATAAATTTGTTTTCTTATACAGCGTACTGAGATTGAACAAAAAGTGAAAACCTTCTCTGTTTCACAATTTATTTTTCAGTACTTGTACGTGATTAAGGCACAAACTTTGCATTATGGGGAAGGCGATGAAAGGTTCTACACCATGGTGTTACTTTAAAAACAAAACTAAACATAGTCGACTAAAAGCTAATCCACAGTTTAGGTCATAGTTGCTCGCGGAGGCATGTTTGGGGATTTTTACAAAGATTGGATCAACGAATAATAAATATTAGCTGGAATTCCATTCTACCGACTTGCATATATATCACAATAGACATATAGAAGCTCTCTTTTGAATACTTTCAGATTGAGAGTGGTTCAAAAACGCCACACACGACAATCGTTAAAACCATCGGCATTTGTTTTTTTTAGCATATTTAGAAACTTAAAACTGAAAACCGGTGCGTATACCTCTAACGAAATTTAATCTGGGTAAAAGAAGGGTGTGAAAAGAACGCGACGCGATAAAAAGAAAAAAAATGAAAAATGTCTTTTTTTTTATACAGCGTGCAAAAATTAAACGAAAAGCGAAAACCTGCTCTTTTTCATAATTTATTTCTCAGTACTCGTACATGATAAAAACACATACTTTGCTTAATTTGGAAGGCAATGAAAGTTTCTATACGTGGTATTATTTTAAAAGCAATACTAAACATAGTCTACTAAAAAAAAAATCCTCAATTTAGGTCACAGTTGTTCGCGGAGGCGTGTTTGGGAATTTTTACAAAGATTGGAGCGACAAATAATAAATAGTAGTTATAATTTCGACTTACCTACTTGCATATATATCACACTAAAAAAATATAGACGCTCTCTTTTGAATACTTTGAGATTCAGAGTGATTCAAAAACGCCACACACGACAATCGTCAAAACCTCGTCGTTCTTTCCCGCCTCTTTCAGATATTTTTCTCAGAAACTAGACGTGGCAGGACATTAAAATAAAAAGGATTGTTCTTCTTGGAAAATGCGATACTAAATATAAAAATTTGAAGCAAAATAAAAAATATGACGGCACTTCGTTGCCCGAATCCAAATGAAACCGCCAATATATATGTATAGAGAGAGAGAGAGAGATGCAGGGTAACTGCGGAAAACAAACCAGGATGATTGTATTCGACGTTTCGACCTGATGCAAGTCTTCGTCAGGAATGACAAGACCTGCCTCTGGTCGAAACGTCGAATAAAATCGTCCCGGGTTGTTTTCCACCGTTACCCCGCACTCTGTCTTCCACACCGTCGGCCTCCAAGCAAACATGCCCATATATATATATATAAACTGAGAAGAAAGAAGAATCCTTGGTAAAAACGTCAACAACGGACGATTTATTCTTCGACGTTTCAGCCGGAGTCCGGCCTTCCTGACGAAGGCCGGACTCCGGCCGAAAGGTCGACGAATAAATCGTCCGTCGTTGCTGTTTTCACCAAGGGTTTTTTTCTTGACAGTCATATACCCACGCCTTTGTTCTCCCGCCACTATGCCCGTTGTATATATATATATAACGGGCATGGTGGCGGGGGGCCGAAGGCGTGGGTATAGAAGAAGAAAAGAACCCTTAGTGAAAACAGCAACAACGGACGATTTAATCTTCGACGTTTCGGCCGTAGTCTTCCTGACGAAGGCAGGACTCCGGCCGAAACTTCGAAGCTTAAATCGTCCGTTGTTGCTGTTTTCACTAAGGGTTCTTTTCTTCTATATATATATATATATATATATATATATATATATAGATATATATATATGAAAGCAAAGGGTGAAAAGAGAGATCCAACACAATGTAGTGTAAAGATTATATATATATGTATATATATAATGTCACTTACATCCGAAAATCAACGTAAAACCTCTAACATTTTTTTTCCTTCTGTGTTGTTCCAAAATCTTCACTCGCTACACGTTTCAGACGAAATAAACATCAGGCTTTCTTTTCCGCCAGTTCTGCATGATGGTCAATTTACCTCGTTTCATCATACTGGCACTGCAGGTCAGGAACATCGGTAATTTTAAAGGATGAACATCTCAAAATTCGAATTTATAGGTAATAGCCTGAAGGCGACACGTACTGAATACATGTAGCGATTGTGGGAGTGTGGCAGATTTAGAAATAGAGAGTTTTCACTATAACCTCGACCAGTGTTTACAACTAAGTATTCTTAATCCTAAATTTAGATTGAACGGAAATGTATTACCAGATGCACCACTCGCTGCCGGTAACTCTGTCAAATTACCACGACCATTTGAAGATCCCTCCTCAAGATCATTCTTAAGAAAAAGTAATATTTTTTTTTGGTTGATATCGATTAATATCGGTTACCGATAAATAATTTACGGTTACGGTTTCTATGAACTTAAAATAACGGTTTCGTTCCGCTTCCGGTTACTGAAAAAATTTCGTTCCTAAACGGTTTTCGGTTGCGGTTATGGTTGCGGTTTGAGTCTCGGTTTCCTATTTTCAGGGTCAAGACGGGCGCAGCGGTAGCTCTGGTGAAGAAGGAGGCCGGTTATCGGACAAGGCTTTTGATCTTGAGTTGAGGAGATCAAACGAAGGTATACATTATATATTTCCCAGTTATTTGCACCTAACCCCAAAAAGTGTTTTCAAATCTAGAGATCTCATTCTTTACATTTCGTTTATAACAGAAGGCATTACAAACCGACTGCTCGAGTCTGACAAGCTCACAAGCCCAGTCAGTGATTCTGGAAGCTACACAACAGGTAGGAGACCTTCACCAAGAAGGGACCTGCTGCTGCAAAAAAAAAAGGACCAACATATCTCTTTATAGTAGTCAGTTCCCCCTTTTAGATTTTAGTCTCAACTTTTCTCTAATTCATAGACGAATATGGCATGCCCATAAAGAAGAGCCGGCGAAAACTCTCAAGAGGAAATGCCATGCCCAAGGGCCCCATGATGAACTGGGCCGAGATTATTCCCCCACCTCCGGAGCAGCCTCCAAGCGACGTTGGCTCTGCACCCAACACCCCCGCTTCGCATCGGGGAGTGTCGCCACACAGTAGGCAACTAAAGCAAAAGGTAGACGCACTGTACCTTTTTCATACCTTGAGGGCCATATTACCGGGTATCAAACAAGAAAGAGCAACACTTGAAACATTTGTGACATGTTTATTATATTATTCTAACTTCTAGAAATAAAAATAAAAGTCTGCATACAATATCCTGAAGGAGAGCCGATTAGCTTGGGGAAGACGTAAGACTTGCTTCTTCATTCAGCTGCCCTAGACCATGCCCTTCAAGAACGATTAACAAAGGGATGGGCTACCTTTTGAGGTAGGCTGTCTCTCAGGATATCAGGGTATGCACAAAATAAAATGCTCTGAAAAGGTGCACATATCCCAAACATTGTGATTTAGCTAAAGTGTATATAATCAACGCATACTTTGTCTACCTGGTGGTATTTCTAGCATTGTTTTAGTATGAAGAATCTGAAAGTGGCGGGAAAATTATTTTGATAGTATAATGTCATCGGCAAGATAACAGTTATTTGGAAATTTTAATGCAAATTATGTTAACATACAAAAAATAAAGAGCAGGTTGGTGAAAATACAAAAATTCAAAGAAAGAATAAAGACACTTAGGGACAAGGACAGACAGCAAAGTTGTTTCAACTAGCAACGAACATTTACTGATGTCTCCTTCATTTCGTACAGTCCTCTCCCGACTTTTTAAACAAAAGAAGAAGTACATGAAAAAACACCCGAAAAAAGACGCAAATCTCCCGAAATAAACTAGAAGATAAAGAAAAGGGAAGTGAGTAGGAAGAAGAAAAACTATTGACAATCCAGATAGACGAGCCCATTGACTAATTCAGTTCTGGCTTCAGGTATTTCATCTCAACCCTGAACAACCGAAGAGAAGCGGCAGTGATGTTGTGCTCGTCACCAGCTATCCTGTATGCTTCAATAATCTCTCGGCCGAGCTTGTTCTTGTGTCTCCCAATTATGCTGGTGTCAGGGGCTCCGGAACGCGGGTTGGGGGGGGGGGGGGGGGTGCTGTGGGGGCAGCCGATCTTGCAGGTTCTAAAACAGTGGGGGCATGCCCCCACAGTTTTAGCTGTTCCGACCGCACCCCCCCTCCTCTTCTCCCCTCCCACCACCCATGAGGCTGCTGCATGTTGAAGCCACACTCGATAGGCGACGAGGCGCCACAGGCTAATCCGACGCGAAAGACAGACCATGTACGGAAAGTGCCAACACCAAGCTATACAGCGTTGGAGCCTCCGAAGATTCTATAAGACTGCAGCCTTCATTTCGCTGGACTGCGCTTCGTCAGTGGTCGTTGATATAAATAGATATATATATATAGCGAGAGAGAGAGAGAGAGAGAGAAAAAAAAGAGATAGAGGTGGACAACACGACGCGACATGAGCCCCCAGACGTCGCACATACACGTCAGATATACCTCCGAAGCCCCTGGCTGGTAACCTGGGATGGAGCTTTGAGTCCCTTTTGGCACGGGAAACCTCGAGGGCGTTTTCTCTTAGGTGGGTGTTCAGGCAACACCCTGACTGGCCAATGTATCGGTCACCTGTGAAGAGCGGATGGAGTATACCACCCGCTCCTCACAGGGAACGGTCTGATTGGCATGTTTGATGGAACATCCTTTAGGGGCTTCGTAGTTGTTCACTTTTCTGCAAAGTTGTTTTAGGCGTAACTTGCACGAGAAGACAACTGAAGTATTGAAGCGCGCTGCTATTCCCTTCACCCTGTGTGTAGAGTTGTGCACATATGGGATTGAGATAACAGGTGGTCTTACTGCGTGGAGCACGGGGCATTTGGGTAGCTAAAATAAACTGAACAAGAATGGTACTGAGTAGATTTAGTGGATATCCAGCTTTCAGGAGACGTTCTTGTGGTTTTGCAATGCTCAAGCCAACAAAGTGAAAACAGGATTTGGCGCGAGAAGATGAAAGGAAAGAACGAATGATTCCATGTTTTACCAGTTTTTAATGTGAACTGAAAAATGAATGAACTGGTTTCCGGGATCGTTGTTGGAAGGCCCAACAAATGCTGGTCAGAAAAAGATGGAAACGAAGATCGAGATACTGGAGACCATCGCCTGAGCTGTTTTTATTCTTTCTTCGATTCTTCTACGTTAACATGTCTAGATTTCTTGGCCTACTGACCAATCTACAGGGGAGAAAGCTTTTGCAGTGAAGAATATGTGCTATGAAAATATTGCAACTTCAAAGTTTCATCACTCATGCCAAACCTAGTGTGTACATGTGAATATACAATATGTTTACTACTAAATTCATTACTGATGGTGGCAGTTAAAACTGATCAGTCTCATGCATTAAATCACATGGTTTCTAGACATTGTATATCTTGAACGATGGTGCAGTACGAAATATGTAGCCTTCTCTCTGATGTGTGCAACCGGCACTCGTTGATTTTTTTTTTTCTATGCATCCCATACTAATAAGAGGAATTAAAGTGGGATTCATTTTCTTAATACATGGCATGTTATACATTTATTATCTGACACTACATTGACTTTAAAAAAGTACAGTGGTCTATTACTTTAAAGTACTATGCCTAAAATCTACAGGGTGTTTTACTTTTTCACACCAGCCCAAGTTTCTGTGTAAAAACTATACATCACACAGAAATAAAATAGGTACCATATTAGTCACTGTCTAGGGGCGTATTTTTTTAGTTATATATAATATTTAGTATATTGGAGTTTTAGTACTAGTATCAAAAAAAGAAAACTGGTTGCATCATGCTTTATAGTAGTTGATCTCAAAATTCCGTAGAGAGTGCTGATATGACAAATCTTCCTACGCAAATGACCTGCTTTCAAATTGCCCAATGATGTTCTCTGATTTTCATGTGCAGCTGCTCTCAGGCTGCTCCCAGGCCTCCCTCAGCAGTGCGAGGGTGATGCAAGGGGCCCCCAGGTTCGCGGGTCCCTCCCCTAGGGCTAGCCTTAACAAATCCAGCAACAGCATCGGGGCCTGCTACGCGGACCCCAGCACGGGCCTTCACTTCGCCACGAGAGATCTCAGGCCACTGCTGAGGCCTCCGTTGCAATCACAGCTGCAGACACAGCCGTCACCTTTCTGCCAGACTCTCATGGATAGAGGAGTGCAGTCGTCCCTCCCGTCGCTAGTCAGCGAGTCGCACTCGTTAAAACCCGCCCTGGAGGTGTCTGGGCCGAACCGTGCGGCACTTCAGGGTCAGTAAATTAATTTGCAGTTGTAATAATCTTCATTTTATCCCATGGCTTGTAAAAAGAAAGATTTTTGGTTAGACACGTCCTCCCCATCTTCACAAATTTCAGGATTTCTAATGAAAATTGTTTTTCCTACATTTGGGCAATTCAAACTTCTGGCAGATTGATATGTACCAGATGCAATATATGTTAGGACGAGAAGTAGGCAGAGCAGTATACATGCCGGATGTTTCAAATTATGTTTTTTTCGCATTTAAAAAAAATAGACTATGGTACTTATGCGAAATGCATTTTTGCATTTAGGTTATGTTCTCGTGCAGACACTTAGTAGGGGGATAATTGCCGCTCTCAGTTTTTTAATTAACTAAAGTTCATTCATACTTTTTAAGAACCATGGTTAGGGTATGTGTATGTGTTTATATTGGAAACTTCACGGCAGTCATATTCAAAGTCTTCCAGTTTGTAGAATTCTCGGAACCAGCCCGTGTTCCTAGATATAAATCTTTGAATTGCCTCTAAATCTGGGTAAATATGCATTCGAAACCGCAAATTTCATAAGAAGCATGACATTCATATGGTCATTTGAATGTCATTATGTATGACATTCATATGACATTGTATGACAACGGGGAAAAGCTGCTAACAGTTCCTTTGTGTAAGTCATTTGCACCTGCAATTTATGTTTATACAAAAAAGTAACAAAATTTACTATCTTTTCTCTGCTGCCCCTCATACATCATAAGTCGCACACTTCTCATGATAGTGCCTCTATTCACGCTTTATGAAAATAACTTGAAGGGGTCCAATGTCTGAGTGCGTTAGCATAAAGCTTGCATCATTGACTCGCATGTCATGAATTTCATGATACGCATGAAAAAATGCTAGTTTAGTCGTACTGCACTGGCCAAATTGCCTCACATAGACGAGACACAAGTGACAGCATTTTAAGGCGGGCACTGTCTTGAGATATTGAATCACAGCTTTGCCATCCCAATTACTTTGAACCCAAGTTTACATGCAAAAGCTTCACGTATCAGCCACCTGTGAAGAAATTACAAATGTCTGTATGCTTTCCTTCTCCATCTTTCATTGGCGTAGAATCGTGGCTGAGGTTCATGCAAAACCAACTGACACAACCCAATCCTTCTGTTGAACCAGGACATATTTATCATCCCATGGACGGAGAGTCGGATGCGGAAGATATTACACGGCCACAGTCCTTAGAGTCTAGTGTGGCTGGAGACACAGACTATGCACCAAGTCATGGTAAGTTAGACACGCTGTACTCACTTCATGCAGCACGATTAGTTAAGTATTTCAATTGAGTTTTAGCTTAAGATCTTTCTTTCCTTTTAGCATGAAATACCGATACTAAACATTAGGACTTCATCGTAACACGGTATTGGGCAGGAGATCGAACTATAGGGGGTGCTCTGACCCGTTTGTTTCCCAGAGCTCGGTGTTTACTCAACACAAGGCCTGTGCACATACCAACAGGCCTTATGGGCATGTCCATATCATCTTCTACAATATAGCGCGGGGCACAGTTTACTGTAAAAAATACTAACAATCGACGAAGCGACGTTAAGTGCCGGATCTATCCTCAGAGAATGCGAGCCGACCCACTTCGGCTTTTGTGCTGAGCTGGGATCGTGCATGCTGCATTGTTCATGCAGGCCGGAGTCGGAACAAAAGAGCCCCTCCTCCCCCTCACCGGAGAACACGAACCCCAGCCGAACGCTGACGCCGCGTTCGGTTATGTCGGCCGAGCGTTGAGTCATTGTATTTGTTGTCCCCATCCGTGTAGTTCTAAAGTTAACCGCTTGGGGCGTCACGGTCGCTCCTCCTCCCCAATATGACTGGTAATTTTGCGTTAGCGTTGCACATAAAAGAGGCAGGGTATGGCTCCGTGTATGCATCTGGTGGATGTATAATTCAAAATATGCTAGCATAATGATGTAAGGTGGCTCGTCCCCCTGCACAAGATAATAGGGTGTTTTCACTGACGTAATTTCGTCCACCATTTTGTTGTTGCGATATGTCTGGCGTGTGCCAAACTCGAGCATTTCAAGGATTTACATGCCTTCTCAAATGCGTAAAGCACCGCTGACATCATTTCAACCGGTTACGATGTAATCCTTCAATGTAGTAAATTTGTTTGAAAAACCAAACTAACAACAAAATGGCGGATTGACGTCATGTGCAAACAACCTATTCATATTAATATTTCAGAGATAAGAACAGAGGTTGTAAGCCCATAAGCCGTTCTACTAGAAAGATGCAAGCATTCCTTGGTAGAAATTTGCTTGGTGGCCAGATGTCTTAAGGAAAATGATGTTTGAAATTTCCTGCTCATAATCCACAATGGTGTTTAGTATGCATGTACCTAATAACACGCAGTTCAAGACTTTGACCTTGTCTAGATTACTTCTGTGCACAGTTACAAGCGTACTTGCCTACCAACCTCCTTGAAGCAAAAAGCTACTATAATATATTAAGCGTTGATGCAAAAGTTGCCATTGTGAGGCTTCTTTAAAGACAAACTTCACTGTGTCATCACTGGATAGTACTAGAAACGCATTTGCATGTCTTTGAAACCTGGACCTGGAGTAAATTTTTTTGCTTTTGTGGTCCGAATGTTTACATATCAAACATAGAATATTGTATTCTCTAAAATTTGTACATTCGCAAAGCCCGAATTCCAGAGTTAAACAGGAGCATATCGTACAACAAGGCATTCCTAACTTTATCGCCCTTCATGAGTTGCCATTATCTATGGTAGTAGATAATTTTCCTTCAAATTCCTTCAAAGCTCAATATGCAGCCATAAAAAGCCAGCTTATTCAAAGACTAGTACACACTAGTGACCTGTCTCCACTTGGATGCACCTTCAATAAAACTGTGGATTTCTTTGATACGGCATTTTTTTAAATTAAAGGCCCACAAAAGTGTAGAGTTTTGGAGTGTTAGCTTTATTGGACATATTTAGTTTAAAAAGCAAAAGCAAAAGATCATGGCAGTGAATGTTCAATGCTGCTTGGACTAGTGCTTTTAGCTCGGGGTTCTTGTTGCTGGAAAACAACACATCTAAATTCTTATTTTCTGGCCTCCTATACTCCTTCCAGCGCCATCGTGGGCAAGCATGACGGAGCAGAGCAACAGCTCCTGCACAAGTGGTCGCTCCAGTGGTGCAAGTTCTTATGATGACACTGTCTACAACGAAGTAGATTTCGCCAACGCTGTTGCTTTGGCTGCACAAAATGCTGGCCTGCAGGCCAACGGGTCAATTATTTCCACAGCTCGGTTAATAAACAGCTACGGTATAAAAAACACCTACGAAAACTTGACAAAAGCTCGATTGAAACAGCAACGGGATCCACGCTGATGAATTCCAGTAAGAGCTTTTCTTCAAATTCTCAAACTATGCGTCAAGGCGGACGCTCAAGATCTGTCGAGAAAGTTTTCATGTCTGCATTAAAACAATGTACGAGCTCTCTTTTTTTTAAAAAAAAAGGACAGTGCATGCAGGCGTTCTATTCACACGTCAGGAATAGTTGGTCCAGCTTCTATCAAAGACAATTTGCTCCAAGTTAAATTACTTTAAAGGCTCTCTAACCAATCAAGTCTCTTCACAAAGATGTTTGTGCCCTCCCTTTTGCATTAGGTTCTCATATTCCTGAAGCATGTTCAGATTAGCTCTCTGAAAGAATGTTAAAAATGATGTCGCAGGATAACTGCCACTTAGTACGGTACGTATCACTTTGATGAGGAAATTCCTTTCTAAAAAAAGCCTTCATATCATCGCGCAAAACACTGCATTTACCTATTCGGATAATTTGCATGCTGTTCAAGATCAACACCCATGCATCTGCTTTCCTGTAGATTTTATGTTAGCCAGTAACTGCATTTTCTAAAAGGTGCTAAGTAAATTATGAAATATCTAAATGGTTTGGTGAAGGCGAGCGGGTTGGGTATGAAAAATCTAAATGGTTTGTTTGCAAGATGTCCTGCGGCGCCGATAACGTTTATGCAAATGATTATCTCTCTCACGTCCTTTGCTGGAAGCAATTAGACATACAATTTCTGTTTACAAACAGTGCGCAAATTACTCGAGTAAATATGATAATAAAGAATTCTTAATGCAATTAATATAAAAATTTTGCAGCCTGCAAAAAGAAAATCGAAAAATAACCTGTACAGCCCAGGGTGCACTACCTCCACAACAGAAAAGTCAACTACGCGCTTCTATCCGTTACTTTTCTGAACGTTCAGACGTGACGAAAACGACAGGTACTAAAAATGTAAAAAAAATGAGAGGTTAATACACAAAGTGCCAAATACCTCATTTCATATATCAAATATTAAAGAACAATAAATAAACCTTACCTGCATAAGCTTTTTTTTAAGTTTGTTTTCAAAGCCTTGTTTCGGCACGCAAATCAACCATTGGTTTGCAGTGTTTCACTCTTGCCTTCTATTGATTTGGACATTGGAGGTTGGTTTGGATATTGGCCAGGGACCATCCCCTTGAACATTAGCACTCATTGTAACAGATGTCGCACATGAAAAAAATGAATTCTAGTTATGTTATGAAAGAAAAACACGAAAAATATCCTGTCAAACGCTGCAAGGAAAAGAAATACAAGTCAAAAGGTACACTGACCTCCCTTTATTGTCAAAATCATACAATACTGGTTCCTACTGATAATTGCGTGGTGAGAATAAAAACTACTTTTTTTTTCAAATCTCAGAGCATGCTCAAAGTGATGAGGAGAGGGAAGCGATGCAAAGGGGGTGGCAAGCACTGACGTCATGGAGAATAGAGGAGAATTTCATCGGGCTCAATGTCCAGAACTCATGTAGACACTGTTAGGGCTAGACAACCTGGACCTCTACAATGGTTGCCGATCGGCTCGTGAGGTGCAAATGTGACTTACACTGTGTTCACCGGTGTTTGTGAGTCACTGCTGAGGGGAAACTGGGTCCGGACTACCGTGTGCTCAGATACTCCCAGACACTACATGCAAGAAAATGTGCCCTAACATCAAACTTTTCCCCTTGGTGTTTGTGAATGTGCGGAATGAACGATAAGGACTAGCACCTGTGTTGTGCCCTTGGTAGATCTCCGATCGTCGAGAACCTGCGAAGAACAATTTCCTTGTGTCTCCCTTCGGAAATTTCTGCCCACAAGCCCACCTCCCCGCCCAGAGGAGGCAACAAAAAGGAGCAACTGTTCAGGAGCTCTTCGTCTTCCGTCACATCTTTGCGCTATGCAATAAACCTTTGTTAAGTTTATTTTCCTGTGATTCCCGAGTGCTGACAATACCTTGCCATAACTCACTGATGAGTGCACTCACTCACTTTACTCACCCTCACAGATCAGATGCGAGGTGAGAGTGAGTGAGTTCGTAAGCCTCAGACTCACAAGTTTGAGGTTGAGGGAGGGGCGTGAGTTCCGACTTCTCGGCTGTGCTGATAGAACAGCTGGAGCACTCAATCGTTCGAGAAAGTTCCTCGCACGGACCGAAGACCTTGCTTCCAGCGATGAATAAAAACATAGTTTTAAAACCTTGCAGACTTTTCAAATAGCCTTGGAATGCCGTACTTTAATCATCTCGAATAAAATACTTCTCGTTAAAAAATAAAAAAAACTCCGCTTCATTTTTTTTAAGCAGTGCAGTCACTTAGGGATGCCCTGCAAGAACTTTTCTACTGGTTTTGAACTTGCACCGAACCTGAGCGCACTCAACATAGTAACTTAATGAAACTTTTCTTTTTTCGAATTTCGCTTTATTTTAAAAGTTATACGCAAATTAAAATTACAAAAAAAGAGCGAAAAATAACCTCCTTCGTGATGTCCTTGGTCGCCTGAGTGGCCCTGAATTAGAGGAGAGGTAGTGAGCTCAGGAGCGCTCACGGCTGCCGCACTCCGTGTCGACGGCTCGAGAGGGATCAACTAAAGCATGTTCTGGATAGGCTGTATGAAGGGCAACCAGGGAGGCTCGCATTGCATTTGCTGCGCGATTAAACACTAATTCGCCATGGAACTTCATTGGCCCCAAGCGAAAGCAAACACGGCGTAAATATCAGTTCAGAACGGGAGCCACTTCGCGCTGCTATACCGCCAAACGGACAAACCACAAGCCAAACCTTCTCGTCGAAGGCCTTCGGAACGCTCGGAACCGCTCGGATCCTCGGGCCCGTAAAGACCGCAGCGCCGCCGAATAGATCCGGGACCTTTCTACGCTCGCTGCTGGTCAGTCCTTGATCCCACTACACCTTTCTAGTATGCGCCGCCTTTTTACCCACTTGGGGGCGGGTATGTCGACAGGTCCTTCTTTGTTTCCGTACTTTATAAACTGCATTTGTTTGTTGTTGTTGTTGTTGTTTTTTTTTATCTAATATAGTGAACAATAACTCATTTTATAAATAATCGAAACGGTTCGACGCCACTCATATTTTGTAATTCGACTAAAAAGAAGCTTTTAGCGGCTCGGACCAGTAGTAAGCCCAGGACCAGATACTTCACATTTTGCGCGCTTTCGGCACCGCGGGTCGCCCCCGTAGGAGGAGGAGGTTTCCGCGTCGTCCGGTTAAAATATCAAGCACTGATATTTAGTTACTCTCCCCGCGCCCGCTGGCTTGCCCGAACCCCAAGAAACGTGGAAACCGCAAAAAAGGTAGACACTTAAATATTATTGCAGGGCCCCTTTAAAGGGGCCCTGCAAGCACTTTTTTACTGGTTTTTAATTTGCGCCAAACCTGAGCGCACCGACCGTAGTAACGTAATGTAACTTTTCTTTTCTCGAATTTCGCTTTATTTTAAAAGTTATAGGCAAATTAAAATGACAAAAACAAGCAAAAAATAACCTCCCTCATGACGTCCTTGGTTGCTTCAGTGGCCGTGAACTAGAGGAGGGATAGTCAGCTCAGCGAGCGCTCACGGCTGCCGCACTGCGTGTCGACGGCGCGAGAGGGCGCCACTAAAGCGTGTTCTGGATAGGGAGGCTCAAGTGAGGGTGGGCGCAACTGAAAACCTGGAGAGCGTTTGCAATTTAATGGCGGCGCCTGAGGGAGAGGATTCGGGAAAGGATATGCCCCAATGTTGCCTGCACGAGAGCAGACGCCCGCTCTGTTGCAACTCTGTTGCTCCATGCGCCTGTCCTCCTCTCGCCTCCCATTGCGAGCAACGAACGCCTTGGCGCAGCCTCTCTCGCTTCCTCCTCGCTCCGGGAATTGCAAACGTCGAGAGGAGAAAGCAGGGTTGCCAGACAAGCAGCAACGTTTAAGATGGCGGAATTTACCATTTTTCGCGTTAAAAAAATACTTAACCTATCGCAACAAAACTGGTGGCTATGGAAAAGTAATCATTTATACCTTGTGTAAATTATTCAAGCACCTTAATGGGCTCTTATGACCTGAGTTAGGAAATAAAACGACCCTCTGCCCCATAGACTACCAGCAAAATTTAGCAATTAAATGGCGTCCATGTCCCGTGATCCCCGATCTAGCAGTTGCACCCACCCTCACTTGAGCCTCCCTAGTTCTGGATAAGCGTAGTGGGGAGTTCAAGCGTAGTGGGGAGTCCGAAACGGAAGTAAAAAGAAAATGGGACAATTTTATAACATGTCGCCGAGAGGCATCCAGTTTGATCAATGCGAAAATTCAGAGAAAGGGTGAGGAATGGATGAGTAATGTAAGTAAGAAAGATAGAAACGCTGCCAAGAAGTTTTGGGAGCACTTGAACTCACTCGGTGAAACGACGCAAGCTAAACAGAGGTTCATACTCTCGCATCAGGGAGATTAATTAGAGGGAGATGATGCGATACAATATATAGGAGCAGTGATGGAGGAGAAATTTCGGGAACGGGTACATGTGGAAGATAGGAGAACCGACGGAAGTAGCAGTCCAGTTTGTGACATCGCGGATTTTGGACAAAGAGAATGGGAAAAGGCGGAACGAAGAGCCCCTAGTGGCACGTCGACAGGCACAGATGGTATCCCTATCAAGCTGGTGAAGAATTTGGGTCCTAAATCTAAGGCAAAACTAAGGAAGGTAGTCAGTACCAGACTTGTACGTAACGCGTTACAAGTAATTGATTACTTGTAATCAATTACAGTTAAGTGTAATTTTGTAACGCTTCAATTACATTTGTCAAGCTGTAACGCTCGGAGTAATTCAATTACTTTTTTTCTGTAATCAATTACAAAATCGATTACACAATTACCAATTACATTTTTCATCCCACAATTTTTTTTTCTCACAAAAATCAGCATAGTCACTCAGCCATGGAGCAAAAATGATTGACATTTTTTTTAACATCTAAAAAAAATAAAACTAGGATTAGTCGGCAAATCCTTTTTTCTTTTACGCCACGCTCTTCTACAAGCGCGCCACCAGCCTTGGCTGGGGAGTTCCGGATCTCGTTGCAGATTGCTGATAAAGTCGACGGGAAGCGGGAACTCGCTATTGACTTTTTAGTGGGCTTTGTTCCTTAGGTCGACGCGTCATCTACACGACAAGGTCCGAATCTGAAAACAAAAAAAGGATGAGCATCGTACCGGCGTGCGGTCGTGTATCACTACTGCGTGACGCACGTTAAAGACCCCAGGCTAGCGGCTGTACCGCACTGGCTAAATTTCTCATCTACAGCTGGGAGACTCGTCGCCCCTCTGAGGCAGACCAAGTTCTAGGCTGTATAAACACACACACAATCCAATTATTATTTAAACAAAAAAAAGGAACAATAACCAAACAAAATTGTGTACGCAATATTTTACTGTGTATTTGTGTATTTCTGTCATCGCAATAAAAAGTAACGTGAAAGTAACTTGAAAAGTAATCAATTACTTTGCAGTAATTGTTCAATTACTTCTGGGAGGCAGTAATCAGTAACGGTAATCGGTTACTTTTTTTACTGTAGTAATTGTAATTGTAATCAGTTACTTTTTTTCAGTAACGTGTACAAGTCTGGTCAGTACCATGATAACAAAAGGAAATATTCAAGATGAATGGAGGCTTAGTAGGATGAGTATGATATATAAGGGAAAGGGAGATAAGTCTGATAGTAGGAATTATCGTCCCATAACCGTGACACCGGTTATTTACAGGTTGGTAATGCAGATTATAAAGAACAGACTGGAGGAATGGGTAGATTGCAAGGGCATACTGGGCGAGTTACAGAACGGGTTTCGGAAACAAAGAAGGTTGGATGACAATTTATTTTCTCTTATACAGTGCATAGAAATAGCGCAAAAAGAAAACAGACAGCTCTGGCAGGCATTTCTGGATATCAAGGGTGCCTATGACAATGTGGACCAAAGGAACCTGTGGGACGTAATGGAGAGCTTAAACCTAGATGAAGGACTAACAACACTATTAAGGAACATTTACAAAGGTAACAAGGTGATTATAACATGGGAAGGAAAGGCGACAGGGAAAATAGAGATAAGACGAGGCCTGAGGCAGGGGTGCCCGTTATCACCTTTGCTGTTTATGTTGTATCTGAGAGGGTTGGAGGATAGACTAGAGAAGAGTGGGCTTGGATTCGACCTTTCTTACAGTAAGCTAGGCCAAAAAATTCAGCAATCCTTACCGGGATTGATGTATGCGGATGATATCGTACTAATGGCTAACAACAGGACAGAGTTGCAGGAATTAATGAGCATCTGTGGTAGGGAATTCAGTAGCGAAAAATCAGCAGTCATGATTTTTAACAAGGATGAAGTTGAGAGGCTGAAGATACAGAATATTACAGTTGAGAGAGCTAGTAAATACAAGTATCTAGGAGTATGGATATGTGATGGTGCAGAATATCTCAGAGAGCATGAAAAGTATATAACAGGTAAGGGCAACAGAAATGCAGCTGTAATGAAAAATAGAGCACTTTGGAATTACAACAGGTATGAGGTGGTGAGAGAGATTTCGAAAGGGGTCATGGTGCCTGGCTTGACTTTTGGAAACGCGGTGCTATGCATGAAATCCGAAGTGCATGCGAGACTAGAAATAAAACAGCGCGGAGTAGGTAGACTGGCTTTGGGGGCACATTGCAAAACGCCAAACCAGGGAGTACAAGGAGACATGGGATGGGCGTCATTTGAGAGCAGGGAAGCGGTGAGCAAGATAGAATTTGAGGATAGGTTGAGGCAAATGGATGGAAAGCAATGGGCACGAAAGGTTTTCAGCTATTTATACATGAGGAGTGTAGACACAAAGTGGAGACAGCGCACTAGGAAATTAAGAGGAAAGTTTTTGGGCTATAGCGAAGATACGGAGGAGCAAGTCTCAGTTGGGAGGAGGGTTAAGGCCACATAAAGAGATCGGTGGCTAGAGGGAATGCAGACAAAGGCGGCTCTGGAAAGCTATAGATTAAACAAAACAGTTATTGCCAAAGAAAGCATTTATGACAATTCTAGGGGAAGCTCATTGCTGTTTGAGGCGAGGACGGGTGTTCTGCGAACCAGAACATACAGAGTAAAGTACCAGGAAATGGATACAGTGTGCACTGCTTGTGGAGAGGAGGACGAGACGGCTGAGCACTTGATACTCTACTGTAAAGGGCTTCACCCTATGCCTACCGAAGACAGCATAGATTTAATAAAGTCATTGGGTTTTAGAGACAGCGAAG